TCTACTAAAATTTTGATTTATTTAAGTGACTTTCAATTAATCACTCATATACATCATAAATACTATATAAAATACTTTAAAATTACACTTCATAAAACAATTCTAATTTTGTTTAGTCTGTTTCATATTCAATTAAATCTTTACCTTTATACGCATCCATTTAGTTGATAAACTGACATTTTTGTTAACAATTATAAAAACATGGAATATATAAGGCTATAAGCACATACACAAACATATACATACACACTGTGCCTTATGTAATTTATTGATACAGAAATCGAGTTACAGACTCATCAACAACTATCTACCAAATAAAGTTTTCTTTATGGTTTTTTTATTCACTAGCTTATTACTTTATGCTACATCCTAATGAATATCATCTTATTGTCTAGAATAAAATTTTCTACTATGTTTTATAAACTTAAAACTCAATATTTAAATATATAGTAATAATAATAATAGTAAACAGACTATGCTATACATTGAGACAGTAAGACCTTGACCCGAAATTCAATTCACATCATTCAGAGTAGATAGAGAAATAATTCAGCAAGATATCAAAAAGAGAAATACATATTAATTTGTTCAAATTACGTTATTATTACTATTATCAATAATAATGATTAACGGTGAATCTTTAGACTTCATTTTCTTCAAACTTTAGTTCATAACATTTTCAACACTTGTCGAAAACACAGATCATTTGGATTGTAAGATGTTATTGGAAATTTCTTAGTTGACAATGACATTGTGACTATGATACCTTAACTTAATTTGAAACTCCACACATATGCTTTATTGTTCTCTAATTTCATTTTTGCTTCCAACTTTATTCCTTCTTAAATTTCCGCCACTAATGTTATTGTTACCGTTGTTAGATAACAGGAAAATTTTTTACACTTAACCAAGTGTTATCTCACACTTTTCTATTTGCTTTATGACTGGATTAACTGCTGATATTTCTTTATCTATTTACTTCATTGTCGATAACGTGTTCAACTAAAAAACACCAACAATAATAAGGTGAACACAATTGATATTACATTAATTGGTCAACTGTTTTTAATGCAAATTAATATATGATAATAGGTGAAATGCATGTATGATTACTGGGTTCATTTTCTTAGTATCTCCATAACATTTATAAATATTTCAAAACTTGAACTCAGAAGCTTCAGAGTTAATTAGTCAAAGTTTTCATTATAGCTGGAAATTATGAGGTGTTTAGTGAGGAGTAAAATATTTTATTGTCTAGTATATAAGACTTTGGACTCCAATTAAGTTTAAAATGACGATATAAGAAACTTGTATTTAAGATGTCTGTCAACTGAGTGCTATTTAATTTTAAATGAATCTATCCTTGTTTAAACGTATATCATACCAGACAATGACCTGAGTATATGTGTATCACTTGTATCCATCTAATAATTTTGTACTGATTTCTATTAATTAACTGTGACCTACCATAAATGTACATTTTCTACATCCTCACCAAAATGTACATCTGTTTATCTACTTATTATACATAATCTAAGGATATATAATTCATTCAGTGATTTCACCTTTCAAGTCGAATTCGTGTCTCATACGCTTCATTTACATGCATGAAATATGATATTTCTAACACATTTCGTATTTGACTTTTAATATCGCGTTTCCAGCTAGTCTAACTATATAAATAATCCGTCTATATGGGATATAAAAATGGAATAAATCAATTATAGAGCCAGATGCACCTACAAAGATATGGTTCAATTAATGGAAAAAAACACAGAAAAAGGTTCAGAATCTTAGACTCTGTTAACTATGCTAAATACTACAGGTATTATGCATTCAAACTCAGTTTACTTTACAGGTACATTACTATAATCACTGAAAATAACCTTTTTTGATTTCCTTAATGGTTTATTAATCATGATATATGAGAATTTTAGCCTATTGTTAAAAGTTATCATATGCGTTTTTCATGTCTAGAAATCTGAAGTAATGATCTTTCTTCAATAATATCGAATATTGATGAAACCCATTGTAGGAACTATCAGTAAATGTGATGTCCTGGGTTCGAATCCCGCCGGGCAAGATCGTGGATATGCATTGCTGAGGAATCCTACAGTAGGATTGTTATGGTTTTATGTCCGGCTTTTATCATGTGATCTATCCACCAATCGAAATACGGCTTATACAATCTTAGCACTATGCCAAACCAATGACGTTCGACCGGTATGAGCAGTCTAGCGTCCATATTGGTCCTATGTCCGCCTAGCCTGTCCGCTTGAGTCCAGAACACAATACCAGCTTCTGCAATATGAATCATTTATTTCAAGCATACTCGGTTTATATATCAACCAGACAGACCACAACGTACCATAAAACAGAAAACAGCATTTGTACAATATTTGGCCAAATGTGGCTGTGAACGTGGGAGGCAGTAGTCAATAAACTGAACATAGCTTAAGAACCGAAAATCGTACAATAATAAATTATAGGTCAAAATAAAGCTTATAATAATAGGAATATAAATATACATAATCTAATTGTTGAATAGTTGTACCACAAGAATATATAGGTAATACTGGTCAATTAATGTCCCGGAAGTTACTCGTGATTTGACCTTCGCTCGGATATAACAAGGATGAAACGGCCTTCCGGTGCTTCCAGGTTTTCCATGGTGGTCTAGCTTCAATTGACTCATGATCTCAACTATTAAATTTAATTTTCATCAACCATAGTTATTTATATTCACTTGGTATTGTTTGGCTTGTATCTTCCCTTTGAGTTTTAAGACTGCATATGATCAGTCTGTTATTGGCATATGTGTATACTGTACGTATGCCTCGATATTGCCCCAATTCACAAGCATTTATCAGCAAAGATGGATAGTGGCTAGCAGTGGAATCCAGGACGCGCGTTTCGTCCTATTTGAGACTCGTCAGCTGGATGTATTTGGATCTCAGAGTTATTTATCTCCAATAAAATTAATAATATTCCACTACCTGCTGTGTTTATAAACACTTTAATTTGATTTAAAGATACTAGAAAGAAAATTTATCATTTATTTAGATTTAAGCAATAAGAATTTCTCTTCAAACTGAAATTATAATAAAACAATTAGAATTAACGTACACCAAATGTACGTACTACTATTATTTATCCAATACATTTTATATGAGTTTATATTGTTGTTAGCACAAACTTTCGTGCTAATCTATTTTTTCCTAACCTGAATGTTTTCCTATCATGTTTCTTTTTCGCCTACACAGTCTTGGTGCAGAACAGCAACTAAATAATACACATAATCATCTATTTCTCTCACCTATGTAGAAATTACAAAATTCACAGTTACTATCAATTAACAAGAAAGAGATACCTAGAAAAAAAGGATAAATAATTGGATGAAATTGTAAAATTTTTAATTCTCTCCCCTACCCCATTAAAAAATTTCCTATCTTCTACTTGTGGACTCCACTAGTCGATTTATTTTTCAAGTCATAAAAAACACATACAATTTCCTCCCTTTTAGTAATGCTTTTACACATGGTGAAGTGGCTTTTGCTGATGCAATCAATGCCAGGTATCGTTTATTTACATATACAGATTTGTAGTGACCAGGTTACTTGTTGGGTTACCAGGATTCAAAGCGCCACTTCCTAGGCCAACACAAAATGTTTTTCTCATACCTTATTCACTTAATGTTTAATTGGTAGAAAAATAACTAAACACTGATAAAAATGTGCAACTGTGTACGTATGTATGACTGTACATTTTCATACAAGGTATATTGAAATAAACATAAGATTTCTCCGATAGATATATTGTTGTAAAGATTAATTAAAGACTAATATCTTTCTCTGGTGTTGTTACTAACTTGATTTCATAGATAAATATAACAACCTGTAACCATATTTTCTATTCCATTCAATCCATGCTTCGACCAAACTTGTCTGAAGTGAATAATTATACAAAGTGATAATGCGAAATATCAAAATGAATGTTATTGAAACACTTTAATAAACTTACCGTTATTTGACAAATATATTATTATTATATCCATTCAAATTATATCTTCATTCTATACAGTATATTTATCAAGTTGTTCACAGATTATAAAACATAAAAATTATTGTTATACAAAATCTATATTGCGCCAAACATTTCTGATTCAAATTGTCCAATTTAAACAACAACAATAACATCAAAAGTTAAATGCATATACGTTATATATAGTCATTACATTTATAAATCAACTAACTTCTCTTATACATAATTCCATTTAAATTTCTCACATTTTGTATAATGACCTTATGGATTGTGATTTTTTTATTCATTAAAAGTTGTGTTCATTTACTTCAACAGGTATTACATAGGTATACATATACATATAATCTGAAATGCAAAAACATTTCTACTAATAGTACTTTTAACACTAAAACTATTTGAATACTGTTATCAGTACCATAGAGAATTTACTTTGCAATTGTAACTATACAATTAACTTTGTACTAAAAGTCAAAATATAAACAAATAAACACGTGATAATATGATTACAAAAATTTTTTTAAAATATAATTATTAATTATTTTAATACATTGGAATTCATTTATTAGTATTTAAGTAATATAGTTTCCTTTGTTACTTTTCATTCAGTATCGTAAAACATATATACATATAATGAAAGATATTTGAATGAACTACATACATATATAAATAAACATCGGAATTCTGGTATAATATATATATATATATATATATATATATATATATATATATATATATATTGTAATAGTTATTTGAACAATTACTTATCTGCACTATGAGTATAAACACTTTGAATAATTATTAATCATATACCCGACACGGATCATCTTACAGTTTTTATTGTATCATTAAAATTCTGCTGTTTACACAAGAATATCAAGAAAACTATTGAGGAGAGATTGATCTGAAAAAATCAAGACAACATTCAATAAGACGAAAATTGTGAAATCAAATAAAACAGAATGATTGATTTACCTTTTCCATGTCGGAATGAACAATGTATGGTAAGACTTTCTATTTACATTTTATAAAAATAAATTTTTCTTATGTTAATAATAATAATTCGTCTATCATACTTGTTTAATTGAATGCAAGCTCTCAGTGATACCGTTTGTAAAAGTAATTTTTTTCTAAAATAGGAATCATGAAAATAATTGGTAAGAAACTCTAGGATACAGGTATATCCAGATAACGAGTCTCAAATAAGATGAAACGTATATCGTTACTAACAACTAACTAAATTTATTAATGTATTTCTGACTAAATGTAAATGTCCAGTCAATACACTTAGGACTAACATATGTCAATAGAAAATGATTAATTATGATCGTTATAACATCATCAACGAGAAGATTCAAACACAAAATTTCAATAGTCTCATTTGAAAATATTCTAAAAATATTTCAACATTATTTTGTACAAATTTTATATAATTCATTGGAAATAATTCTTAAGCAGAAATCATAAAAATGAATGATAAACAATTAAATGCCCCCCTCCGAAGAGTATTAAGTCGGGCAATCATTTTCAATAACCTCTTCAGTGAAACAATTATTATTATTGTATTACATTAGATAAAGTATCAGCGTTGAAGTTAAACATTAACACCGTTGAATGACGGCTCAGTGATCTAGAAGTTAAGCGTTACTGTGCGAGACCTAAGGCCCTGGGTTAAAATCTCGCGAGCGGGATCGTGGACGCGCACTTCTGAGGAGTCCCACACTAAGACGAAACGGTAGTCCAGTGCTTCTAGGTTTCCCATGACAGTCTTGCTTTAATAGACTCATGAATTCAACTGTCAACGTTGAATCCATTCATAAGTTGAAAATGCTAAATTTTACGTCGATTAAATAGTTCAAAATACTAACAAATTAAAATGAAGTTATTGGTAATATTGAGAATAAATTATACATAAAGGGTAAGAAAATGATTTCTAACCATTAAGATTTTATGAGAAATTTTTATACAAAATGGGAATTGTTCCATAGTGCTTGTTTGAAGTATAAATAGTAGCAATGATAATGATAACAATAACAACAACAGAAATAATTATTGACAAGAACATCATGTAAAGCAAGAAACACAACTATATGAATTAGTATAAGAAAAATGTCATGTAAGAAAGTGTAAATCATAATGAAGGGTTAAGTATAAAATAGAAACTAAGAATGAGATGGCCTCAATCTATGCCAAAATAAACAAAGATGATGAATCTATCTCTTTTGTGTACATGAGTTAGGTTAGTTAGAATTGGTGGCAAATGATTCAACTGTGTAGAGTAAGCATATTCTTGCACCTTTTGGTAGTTTACTATGAAACAGACAATGTAACTGAGAAAGTATCTTTAAATTTTAATGTCATGTCCATTGTCAATTAGATGGGAAAGAATGGTACCATTAACAGACTTCGCGACGTCTTTTCCTGACCACACCGGTACGTGTTCACGAGAACATAAGGACAAGAATATTAGAGTATTGCTAATGTAACTAGCACATTAAGAGCATCATGCAATGATCCGTTTCCCAGTTTGGATAGAAAACGATTCAATTGACGTGAATTTTGCTATCTTCAACTTATAAAATAGATTAATTCAATTTTAATACTTAAGTTACTCCAATACAAGAATAATAATAATGGTTTCGGAGTTTATGACCATACTAAACTTACTGTTTGTTTAGACATTCATAATCATATAAACTCCGTCTTATTGTCACCTCCAATGATGTCTACTAGCTTATATGTACGTACTAAAATTTGATATTAAATTGATCTATTAAGAGAAACAATAGCTCGCCTTTTGCATAACAGAAAAAAGAACATTGATGTTTCAAATAATCGATATGTAAACAATTGCTTGTTCACTGAGTTTTATTAGATTCATCAACGCAGAAAGGTTTAGATCATTTTCATATAATCAGAAAACAATATTGCCAACTTCATATAACTGTGATGACCTCAGTTTCTAACAATTACTTAAGTAATATCGTATATCACTGCATCATTTATAAGTTTTCCTACTTTCTTGTTTTCAATATGAGATTTCCTTACTTTATTTAACTGATCAATTGTTTTTGTAATTATCATTAAGTAACTCATAACAGTAATTCTTCATCTTAAGAGAACTGTTTGTATGAACCTATCCTTTTTTATAATTCTCTCACATTTATTTCATTCAACTAACTCAATAGTATTTCTAATCTTGGTCAATACTTTATATTATAGTCATAAAGTACGCACACCTTTTTTGCTTGAAACTCAATGTAATCGTATAGAATTAGCTGTAAATGGTTAAAATGAATCTGTGAAATGAATGAATTAATACTCAGACGAAGGTAAACTTCATCTTCTCATTGTATTATTGAAATTTATCATAAAGACTCATTCACTTGATATTGTTTGGCTTGTACCTTCCCATTGAGGTTTGAGACTGCAAATAATCAGTCTGTTGTTGGCATATGTGCATACTGTGCGTATGCCTCGATTCACAAGCTTTTGTAAGCAATGATGGATAGTGGCTAGCAGTGGAATCCAGGACGCGCGTCCTACTTGAGACTCGTCAGCTGGATGAACCTGCATTTCAGAGTTGATGTTCACTCGGGGACTCGAACCCAGTACCACTCGCTTCAAATGCCATAGCGTTATCCACTCGGCTACTAAGTCCTGATGTCCACTTGCTTGTGCATTGGGATGAATTCAAATTCACTTGGTATTGTTTGGCTTGTATCTTCTCATTGAGATTTAAGAATGCATAAAGACTAATTGTTTTAATTATTTATTTTTTTATTTATCTCTAGAATAATAATACAAATACAATTAATAACGGTAATTCTTCTATGAATACAAATTCCTATAAAGATACTACTCTAAATCCTAATATTTTACCTTTATTAAAGCATCAATTACCTAGACAAGAATTAAATGAATCATACTCAAAGAAAAAATGTCAGTATCAACCTAAATCATCATGTTCCATTACATCGAACCATTCATTTAAATTTAATCAAGATTATAATAAAAATAAATTAGACAATGTAATTGAACATTCAACTATTCAACAAATAAATAATAAATTAAAATGTCATTATATTCAAAATCAATTAAATACAATACATAATCCTATTGTTTATTATTCTAATTTAACAACAAATGATCAAAAATATAAAAATATTTATAAAACATCATGGAATCATCAATATAAACGAATTTATACATTAAAATCTAGAAAATATAAAAAGAAAAAAAATTTATTAAAATCTACTAATAAATTTAATAAAAATAATTTAATTCATTTAAAATCAAAATTATTGAAAAATGAATATTTTAATAAAAATTTACCATATAAATCTATAAATCCTATACATAAAACTAATCAAATTAAAACAAGAAACATAGAAAACTTTTTACATCAAACAGTCAATATTACTAATGATAATAATAATAATAATAGTAATAATAGTAGTAGTAATAATACTAATAATCAAGATGGTGACAATCTTCACAATGAAATTTTCGAATCAATCAATACAATTTATAGTAACTATGCATTTAATCCTTTTAAAACATCTATTACTAATCAGAATAATAATTTTGAAAATAAAATCAATGATATTTTAAAGCCTATAACTCATCAAATGAAATTAATCAAATTGTTCATTGTAGTAATCTTCTTAAAAAGAATAATTATTTATCGTCTTTTTTATCATCATCATCATCATCGTCAGGATCATCGTCAATATTAACATTACCACAATTATCATCACATTTATCACCATTATCAATAAAATCTTTATATGATAATGAAAAATTATATTTAAAACAAAATAATATTAGAAAACATTTTCAAAAATTAACAAATTCAATATTTAATTATAATTATACATCGAATCCGATATATTCCAATTCATATTATTCAATAAATAATGATAAACCATTAGATTTACGTAATCCATTACAAATTCACTTGAATACTATGTTATATAAAAATAAAAATTACAATAATAATAATAATAATGATAATAATAGTAATGATAAGTTATTTAATGAGATCGAAAAGCTTAGCAAATCATATTTATCAATGGGAAATTTTAATTCAAACGAAATTTGGTCAACAATCTTTACATTATTAAATAGAAAACTGAATCAATTTCTCAAATTAATCAAAGTAAGTTTCATTCGAATTTTTTTAAACTAATCTATATGGTTAATTGTTTTATATAAAGTTGATTATGTCAATCTGTAGTGTGTGTGTCTGCGCGCTACTTATATCGACATGAGTAGTATATAACAATAGTCAGGATTAGAATATTTGGCAGCAGAACATCAAGAAGGAAAGAACAGGAACAGAAAGTAATTAGTATAAAAATGCAAGGACAATGAAGTTTGAAACAACTGATCGATATTTTGCAAATTAAGTATTTACTGTATGGTTCTTAGATTTTACTAGGATGTTTTGTAATTTTATGTTCAAATACATTCGATTGTCTCCACTTGTGTTGTCATTCGCTACAAATCTTATTCCAATGTTATTCAATATAAACTGCGTTAAACTAATGTTGATTAATTCAATATTTGAGACTAATTAACAAAAATCACCTCAGATTTATTTTGAAAATATAATGAAAATTAATAAAACTTTAAAATAAACTACCATCCTGTTTTATCTATGATCAGTTTATACGTTCTGATATGCTGACTAGTTTGTAATCTTAGTCAAATAATGCTGATTAATATTTTATAGAAAACCCTAATCAAGTTTGACACTAATCGAAATAGTTAAACATATGTATAGATCTACATAACTAAATAAGTCATCGTGAACTAAATTTTACAAGGCACAACAATAGATCAATTTCACGTGGAAATTCACCTATTGTTTCCAGAAAATGAGTAACTCACTATTTTGTCATTTAGATTCAACAAACAAAACACAATTCAAATGGTTTATTTATTTACAATGTAATTAAACTGTATTACTTCTACTATATCTATTGAATTGTGGATGATTGAAGAAAACTATTCAAGCGCATTAAATGTTGGTTTAATGTTTGTCGGATCCGTCAAGCAAGTCATTTCTGCAATCTAGAATAGGTTCAAACTTTTTCGTTAAATAAAATCAATTTCAAGATGTTCCAGTAGGTTACGAATAGCGAAAAGTGAAATGCACTTGTTGTTTATTCAAAAATAGTCAGTATCGAATTATATAGTCCTAAATACCTCTTAACAACTTCAGAAAACCGTAATGTGATTATTTGCCCCAATAAATAGATTAAATCTGGCTGAGAGAGGTCCATTAGCACTGATGGTATTCAGAGTAACAGTTGATAATCTTATGAATAAGGCTCTAGCCTATTTTCTTACTCCTAAGCTTCATTACAGTAGTTCAAATCAAAATCAGAGCTCAATTTTATTCAATTTTCTCATATTTTTCACTTCAAAAACACTTTTATAAATAATATTTGGTTTTACATTGGAGATCCTTAAGGAAACATTGCACTGACTGTACTAGATTGAAATTTTAATAAACAGTTGAAGTAAATGAAATGTTTCATATTTTACTTTAACCTAGGAATTTCGATGTTTTTCCTTACTACTGAGCCTAACATGTAAACATATTTAAAATATGAGCGATATCAATACATTATAAACATATTTACTATAATCTACAAACTTAACGCCTTCAACTAACTCTGAGAAGCTAGACCTATTCTTCAGGAAGGCAGGATAATACACTGAGTCAATCAGAATTAGGGTAAGTGACAGGTGCACGCGATTGGCCACGAGAGTTTTTACATTTTTTTAGGAATGAGATATACATTATTGGTGATTTAATTTTTTTAGGAACAGACTAATACGTATTTATGTGAGTATACATACAGAACGATTGGATTGGTCAATAGACTTCCTTTATCACTCTGACTGTTTTGACCCGAATAGCCATTGGACTCGTGTTTAGAAAAACGGTGTGTCAGTATCGAAATCGGATATCAAATAATACAACAGTCATATCTGAATACCAATGAACTACGAATGTTAAAATTACTATCATAGTAACTAATAGCGCATTGTCTTTTTAAAACCCCTATTATATTTTCTGAAATTTAGTTTGATTTCAAAAATTATGCACACATTACAAAAGTTCATGTCGTTTTAGAATCCCATATAATAAAGCTTTACTAAAGGGACTTGTAATGACTTGGATTATTTTCCTAAAGAAATTAATTACTGTAATAGATTAATATTTTCAGTTTTACGATATTAGGCCATGCATATATCTCAAAGTTAATTTTCTTGCTGAACTTTAACGCATCACCAACTTCACGAGGAATAATTTAACATAAAACGATTAAAGTAATGATATATATTCAAATAACTGTAGCGAAATACTTTATTCTAACATATTAAACTCTTGATTAGAATGCAGTATGAGATTTTTTTAAAGACACGAATCTTAATTCATTTTGTATTGTTTGTTTAAATCTTCCAATTGATGTTTAGGATTGTAATTCATCAGTCTCTTGTTGATATATATGCAACCTGTGCGCATCGCCTCGATATTGCCTTAATTCATAAGCATTATATGCAAAGATATATAGTGGCTAGCAGTGGAATCCAGGACGTGCGTTTCGTCCTATCCTGAACTCATCAGCTGTATGTACCACCCATCTTTACATATAATGCTCGTGACTTCAGGCAATGTCGAAGCCATCAGCACAGGATGTATATATGTCAATAACAGACTGATCTATTGCAGTCCTAAACGTCAGTGGGAAGATTTAAACAAACAATACTAAATGAATATAAACTTCACTCGACCGCACAAACGAGTGTCTATTAGGACTCAGTAGCTAAGTAGATAATGTGATGGGATTTGGAGCAAACGGTACTAAGTTCGAGTCCTAGAGTGAGCATCAACTCTGAGACGCAGGCACATCCAGTTGATGAGTCTAAATTAGGACGAGACGCGCATCTTAGTTTCCAGTGCTAGCCATCTTCCATCTTTGCTTACAATACAATGTTAGTTAAAATATCATTTATTTATTGTTCAATATGTAAGGCAGTTTATTTGCAGTAATATTCAGATCAGGGTTTGACCGAGTCTTTCCCATCTTTAAATTGAAAAGGTATAAGAAACTGAACTTACTATTTCTCCTTGTGAATTTTAATGAGAACAAACGGAAATAACATTTATAATGATTTCAACCGTGAAAATACTTTAATTTCCACAAATTTTCCCAACTAATAACAGTCATTTGCTCACTAGCGATACGCCTCAAGATTTAACTCCTGGAGTTCTAGTAAGAAGTGGTGACCAGTGGAGTTCGACCGTTTCAGGTTTGAGACAGTTACGCAACACAGGATTGATTGAAGCTAGACATTCACATTCAGTGGTCTAGAGGTTAGGCGTACGTGCGCGAAACTAAATATCCTGGTTTCCATTCCTGCATCTGAGATCGTCGATCCGTACTGCTAAGCGATCTCGAACTAGAACAAGACGGGTATCTCTTACTTCCGGGTTTTCAGTGGTGGTCTACTGAAGATCAGTTCGTGGTTTTAACTGTAGATGTATTATTTATCTAATTTTTTATCTTGGTTTCCTATTTCGATCCTAACATTTTCGTCAGCAGGAATTTTTCACTTATATATCGATAAATTAGTATACATACAACTCGTTCATCAAATCAACGACCATATCCAAGCAATTCCACGAACTGCTTCTATTACACTGTTCATCAGGGAGGCTTTCCAGCTTACAAATACCATACCATTACTTCAATGTTATTTCACTCCAGTTTTCAATAGCTGTTTCATGTTTTACGTCTTGAACAAGAAAAATTCTTTCTCCTCAATTTGGTAATTTTTATGCAACCATAATGTATTTTTATTATTAAATTAATATGTTAAACTTATTGACCTTGAACAGTTGAATACTCACATCACCCTATATTTTTGAAAGTATTGTATTAAACTGAAAATATTTAGTCATTTTGTTGTACTATTGTAGTGAACAGAACACCAGTGGGAACAGTCGAATGTATTTAACACTAAATTACAGGTCTTGTTAATAAAATTTAACAATCATAAAGTAAATGCTTAATTTGCAAAATGTCCACCAATTGTCTCAAAATGACTCAGACTTCATTGTTCTTGCATTTTCATGCAAATTGCATCCTACTCACATTCTTTACTGTTCTATCCTCTTGTCTCTCTGCTGCCAGACCTTCTGTTCACGACTAACATCATATACTACTTATGTCAATATAAGTAGCACACCACACTATTTACTAGTCAATTGCTAGTGTAACGTACTTTGTGTTTGTTTAATAAACATTTATTTTTTTAATTAAATGATGTATTAATGAAGTATTTGGAAGACTTCAATCGTTATACCGGTAGGAAATAATTATAATGCAACACTACAAATGACTATGTTTATAAAATGTGTATTGATAGAGAATAAAACTACTCTGAAATCTTCTATTCTCATAATTATACCTTTTTATAGAAATATTTTGTGACAAATATTCTACAGTTCCGATGTGATACAAAAAACTCTTTTTAATTAAATTCCATGTTAATCATAAGCATAGAGTTACATACTTTTAAGATATGTATTTACACCATAAAGCTGATTCTTTCCATTAACATACAAGTTAACAGTCATTTGGTTTATAAAACATAAATAATATATTTGTACTTTTTACTCATTCTATTAAAATTATAAAGACTGTAAACATACCTCAAGATCCTCGGAAAATTGGATTCCTTCATAAAGTAATATTAACTGAAACTAAGAAGCATTAATTAATTGTTTCGGCTAAGTTCTGGACTTCTTTGACGTACTAACCCAAAATTTAATATGATATGTAATACAAAACTTTTGAACGTCTGCATAATCATGATATCTAAAACCTGTTAAGTAATTTTATTCACGCTGATTTTTTTCTAAATAATTGAAGGTATAATCACTTTATGACATTGGAGATTAGATAACAAAACAAATTCCTGCCGGTTTAGCGAACCACGAACTATGTGAACTTAATACCTTAATGGATAACGCATTGGAGTTTAAAAAAGAAGGAACTAGGTTTGAAGTCACAGTGTAAACATTAACACTAAGATAAAAATACATTCACCCGATATAACCTAAATAGGATAAAACATACATACTGGATTCCACTGATGATCACTCTTCAACTTAACAAAAAATAATTCAAGAACTTATTACTGAAATTCATTTATTACACACATTGCTATCTTGTTGAATTAAACTAATGAAACAGTATATTGGTGAAACAATAAAATGTCTACTGTAAAAAAATAGTAACATAACCCCATAATCAACTTTGAATTCTAATATCATGTTGATTTTTGCAAAAGTTCACTCGATTCATTAAAATCTAGTCAAAAAAGAAAAAAATTCAGAATCAAATGATGAACGTGTAAACACTTAAAGAGGCAACATAATTACTTACTTAGTTACGCCTGTTACTCCCGATGGAGTATAGACCGCCGACCAGCATTCTCCAATCCACTCTGTCCTGGGCCTTCTTTCTAGTTCCATCCAATTATTGTTTATTTTTCTAATGTCTATCTCCATTTCCCGGCGTAATGTGTTCTTTGGTCTTCTCTTCTCCTTTGGAGTTGACGATTCCATGTGAGGGCTTGCCTTGTGAACAGTCGGGTGCTTTCCTCTATGTGTGTCCTATTCACTTCCAGTGCTTATTCCTGATTATTTCTTCGCTGGGATCTGATTTGTTCTCTCCCATAGTAGGTTGTAGCTGATAGTGTCTGGTCAAGGGATCCGAAGTATTTTGCATGGACAGTTGTTAATAAACACTTGTATCTTCTGGATGATGGCTTTCCATTTAGAAAAAAGGGGCAACATATTTCCGATTATTTAAGTTATAATTATCTGTTATATGCTTAACCACCTCGTATAAACTGAATTTCAAACTTTTTTAAC